TTATCATTATTATTATTATTATTATTATTATTATTATTATTATTATTATTATTATTATTATCCAAAACTCAAGGCCGAAGAAACAACACAGAGCGCAGAGCAAACAATGGCGATAACACCTCTACGCCTTTCAAACCCTTTTCTGTCTCCACGCTCTCTTCCCGCCACCATCATACTCCACCACAACCCGAGGCCCTTCACCCTCTTCGCCGCCGACGTCGACTCCACGGAATCCGACCCGGACGCAACCCGACCCGACTCTGACTCCGATTCCGATCAATTCGAGTCGCGTCTCTCGAAAATCCGAGTCCGAAACCGAAGCGGGACCGGAAGAAAGGCGGAGGTTCGAAAATCGAAGAGAGGGTCGATCGGGGCGTCGAAGAAAGGATCGGGGATGTATCTGCCGCCGGTGAATCTGAAGGAATCGATCTCAGGCGGGCTGAAGGTGGAATTAGGGTTTAGCCCTTACAGCGAAAGGGTAAACGGTCGAATCGCGGGACTAGGGCTGGCGGCATTGTTGATGGTGGAGCTGGTGACGGGTAAGAGCGTGTTGAATTACCATTCACCTGCGACTGTGTTGATTCAAGTTTACTTTGTGGCTGCTGTTTCTGCTCTGTTCGTAAAGTATGAGAAAGAGAAGGTTAGTGTTTGGCCTAAGGAGTAATGGACCGAGGAATGAAAGATGAAAAGAGAATGAACTTTGGATTTGGAATCCAGATTTCTGTAAATCGTCATGTGAATGCTGGTTTTTTTTAGATTATTACAATTTTCAACAATGAAGTTTTTGCCATGTTGGTTGGTAACGTAAGTGGTTACTTACAAGGGTGGATATCCAAACCCAGCAGCAATTAATAATAATTAGGAATGTTAAACGGGTAAACTCGACTCGAGTCCGCACTCAATCCGAGGGTTTTGGTTTCGATTCGAACCAGTCCCAATTTTTTCAGTCTTGTAAAACTAAGTCTGAAATCCAGTTCTATAAAACTCGGGTTCGGACTTAACTCGGGTGAGATCGGGCTAATCCCTTTAATATCTTAAACATGTGTATTAATAAAATTTATTTTATTTATTATTTTAAAAAAGAAACCACGCTTTCCAGTTTCCAGATCGGCTCGAAACTTTGATTTGAACCTAACCCATGATCCGAAAGATTTTGGCTCGGAAAATTTGGATATTCGTCCCGTGTCCAATCATTCCGCTCGGCAGTAGCTATGCTGTCGTGATCACTCAATGGTGCTCAAGTGAATGTGAAATTGCTTTTTGTGTTGATGGTCCGAGTAACATCAGGCAAAATTCAATCCTAACCTCTCACCAGTTACTGGAAAGCCCATCATAATCAAACAAAATCACATGTCTAAATCTCGATCGGCTAATGCAAAATCACAGAACTTTCCACCATCAAACTCGCCGTTCGTTACTCCCGGGTCGTAGCAGAATTATTGGCAAGCTCTCTTCTTAACCTGTTCACCATCTTCCTTCTCCTCGACATTCCTTGTTCTTCCAGATGCATTCTCAGTAAAGTTTTTACTCTGTCTATCAAATTCTCTTAAGTTTCTTCGTTCCTCCATGGTGTCGGTAGCATCTTCCTGTCCAAACCTCGTAGAATGAGGGTCACTCTCAATATTAGTGGGCCTGCAATCATCTGTATTAAAGGCTGGTCTAAACAAGCGGGGGCCGCCATGTCGATCACCAAACCTTCTTCTCTCGACATTCACGTTAACACCAAACCGATCCAAATGACTTGGCCCTTCATACGTATCATCTCCATATTCAACTCTTTCTCGTGAATCCAAGGTGTTAAATTTTCCATGGTTTCTAAAACCACGACCAGGCTGATTCCTGTATGAGGTGCATGACCTTGAAAACCCACGGCCTCTTCCAAAGCCTACATCCCTCAAATCATTGGATGGTCTCGATGTATAACGGGGAGAACCGGGTCTTCTAAAATTCATGTCTCTTGGAAAACCAGAATGATCTGGTGATCTTATCCTCTCCATCCTGTAACTTGGAGATGATCTCCGACGAGTCAAATCTGGATGCCCAGCAAATCCATCTGGAGATCTATTACTAAAAGATGAGCAAGGACCAGGAGACCGTGCTCTTGATCTAGTCGGAGATCGTGAACGAAACGGAGGAAAAGCTCTTTTGTGGTTGGTAGAAATATCTCTTTGCCCTTGAACGAAAGGGCCATCATCCAAATATTCATATGAATGATGAGGCCTCACCATATGGTCTGTATTGTTGCGTGGTAAGCCCCTCTCCCTTGTAAATTTCTCGCCATCTCCATGTTCATGAAATGCAAATGCATCCTCTGAGTTTCCAGGGGATCGCCTTCTGGAAAATGAACGAGAGAAAAAAGTTGCTTGATCATTCCATGACCTTCTCCCTCTACGACAACTCCTGACAAAAGCACCATCCTCACGAGTGCTGCCATAGTTATCGAATTCAAAATCTGCACCAATAAAATCAGAGTTCCATTGAATTCTTGAAGGAGGGTACGCCCTCGCATAACCAAAAAACTTTGAAACAAATTTACTTTCTAAGTCCCGACTCCTCGGATTGCTTTCTGTTCGGTCAGAGAACCTCCTTCTGTCAGGTGTGAAATTCAATCTTTGGTTCCCGAACCGGCCATGGTACCTCTCCCGTGAGAACTTGAAAGATTCATCATGAAAGGCATCATCTCTAAGACAGCAATAGAGATAAATCACATAAAGCAAATTGAAAAGGATATTGCATAGAAACAAAACAAAAGAAAGAGAAGAGGGGTTAAGAGGAAAAAGGACACGGAAATATCACCTCCCTTGTGAGAGAAATTTCTTCGATTCAAATGGAAGATCAGACAATCTTTCTCTTTCCACACGTGACGGCCCAAAGCTGCCTGAAGCATCTAGTGGTCCAGCCGGATTTTTATCAGAAACATGAGCCAAGTTCATAATTCGATTATCAAAACTTCCACCACTGAATTCCTTAAGAGGATCACCAGTAGAAAAGCCTGCCCCAATAGAAGCTGTACCACTCCTGTCTATTACTTCAGGGATTTGAACGTTTAAACTTGATACCGTAAATGCTCCAGATACTTCTTTACTTGCGTGAGTGACCCGACAGGACAAGTGTTCACCATCCTGAATGATTTGGCCTTCTTTCTCACCTGATTCATCAAGTGCTCTTCTTTGAAGTTCTGGAATAAGCCTCCTAATCTTTTCTTCGCTGCTTGGCAACTCAACTAATTCCATCGAACATGAATCATCATCAGCATGTTTCTTAAGTGTAGTATCAAGTGATGTACCTGAACATTCTTTGATATGTTCATCAGCAGTTTCACCGATAACGGTAGATTCACTTCCTCTTTCATCAACATAGCTGGAATATTGATAGCCGTCACCAAACACAACAGCAATGTCCCTGTTTTGAGTTTCAGAACCACCACACATTGCATATTCCAGCTTACTCTTCTTAGCGGGTGAATTATCTTCTGAGACAACTGAAACATCTGATCTTTGGACCTTACCATCCTCATTAATTCTCCCATCTTGCTTCTTTTCCACCTTAGATATATCGTGAGCACCATCAGACTCAAAATCGAAACCATAAAAGTCTTCCTTTTGCACATCACCAGATAAATTAATGTTTTCTTCATCACTTGGAGAGTTTTCATCTTTTCTGTGTGAATTAAAAGGAATTTCTTTCAAACTGCAAGTCTTGCGATCATCTACAGTCTTGTCTTCAGCTGACAAAGCAACTGTCACACCAGACACAGTGCGGATACTGTCACCCTGACCAAAACATGTGGAGATCATATCGGTTTCAGTAAGCTTCAACGTCTTGTGTAATATGCCATGGGCTTCACTGCTACTCTGGCCTGAATTTCCGTGCAATACATATTCAGAATAGTTCAAGCCACCAGCATTTACAGTCATTCCACTCAAACATACCGGTACTCTGTAGCCAGTAGAACAAGGAATTATTTTCTCCTTCTGATTTGATGTAGAACAAGTAGATAAATCACACATCTCATTCGGCTGATTCAATGTTCCAGTTTTCCTGTTGATAACTTCAGATTGAATGCAGTTATTAGGCTCAGATTTTATTGACGTAGGATCCACAGGCTTCATAAAGCCAGATGACAAAGTAGTTTCTTGGCTGCATTTCTCAACTGGTTCCTGTTTTACACTGTTATGCGATAATTTGGCAGGACAAATTTTAGCATTCCCAGTTTCTTGTCCAACAACCTCATCAGAGTGCTCTGACTTGACAATCCTAAGACTCGCAGGATTTACATCGCTACCGGTGATCATTGGCTCAGAAGAACTTGTATTACTAGAACATGTCTGGGCTGTTCTAGATGATAAAGGAGAATTCTCAACAGGTGGATGCGAGTTGAGGCCTAGACTAAGTGAAAATCTGGAATTATCTTGACGATCAGACTGCATACGAGTTGCAATATCAAATCTGAACCCTACACACATCTTTTCCTGTTCTTCAGAAACAGGATTTGCGATAGCAGTTTTATCACAACTACTCAATGCCTTGGCGTTACGAGGACTGCTCTTGCTGATTAAAACTGCAAGATTTGCTTTACCCATGCTAGCGCAACCTCGAGCATCTTCCCAAGCATCCATGGTAGTATTTAAGTCCCAATTTGATCTGTTAATACCAACGGATTCACCAGCAGTAGTAGACACAGAGGTAGTATCACTGTTATGTGGAGGGCAGACCCCCTTGTTCAACGACAAATTCAATGCAAGAGATGCTTCTACCTCCCCGTACTGAATATTATTACCAGTTTTACAACCCAGAGATAACTTAGCAGTACCAGAACCAGACGATAGTTCAGCTTGACATTCTCTGCCGACATTTTTCCTCCCACATGTCTCCTCAATTATGCCATGCATAGAATGACCAGTTAGATCTATTCTCATCCCATTTTGTCCTAAACTGACAACTACACCAGAGCTTTCAACCTCCACAAGCTTCTCTTTGTTTGGTAACTTCGCTGAAGAAAAGGGTTGGACTGAACTACTGACAGTGTTAGAATCAGGAAGCTTAACAAGCTGCTCTCTTTTCTCGACCTCTCTAAAAGTAATGGAAGAAACTGGTAAGTCTGCCTCAGTTTTTACTTTAGGCTGACCCACAAGCCCTCGCACCATATTCTCAGTATCTGATAGTTTCATTTCCTCTTTTGAAGAATTGAAGCTGAAATGAGCAGATTTAACATCACCAAGCTTCTCTATCTTCCCAACATTTCCAATAAACTTAGGCTGAATCAAAGAGCGCAGTTCTCCAGAGCTCAAGGTTGTAGTAATCTGGTCAGTGATTGTTTGATCTGTTACATCAGCAGTGACACAAGATCCTCTCTTCTCTTCGGGCAGTGTCTTTTCCATGTTCTCATTCACATCTAATGAACAAGGAACACTCTTCGCATCACCACAACCACTTTGGTCATTAAGTTGACAACTGTTGTCAGACAGTGTGGAAGAAACTTCTTCAGCAGGGGGCCGGAAAAGGAACTTCCTTTTCTTGATCGGAATGATGCCTGCATTGAAATCACTACACTGCCAGGAAGACGGTCTCATCTGAGTCTGACACAAATCAAAGACAGAACATTATTAAAACATGAATATCTGAAACAAGAACACGGTAGTTTCGTTGAGACAAACACCTCTTGGTTCCCAGGCACAGTTTGCCCACCCTTCACTTCCACGATGTCTCGCTACTTCACCTAACAGTTAGAGATCGTCGGTTACTTTGTTAAACGGAGAAAACAAATGGAAATCAGAAACAGATTTCAGATCACCAGACTTAAATTCCCCAAAAGATGCAGAGCCCTAATTAATACAAACTAAAACCGAAATCAGAAATAGCCAGAAAAAGAAAACCAAATTAAGAAACAACAATTAAAACTTGCAACACAAAATCATGTTCAATCAGGCATAAACATCTGATTAAATTTAAAAAAAAACGATTGCGCGGGCGAAAAAAACAAACTGAAATGAGATCGATGCTGCGAATTTTAGACGGAACAAGTAAATCATGATCGGGGAATAAAAATTGCGAACTGGCATTGACCAGATCGACCGACGTAAACGACAGACATGATCAAAAGATTAAGAAAACAAAACGAGTATCAGAGAACTCCAAATGAAGAAAATATCTGAGAAGAAAGTCATGATCCGAGGAGAGAAAATTTCTACCAGAGAATCAGAGAGAGCGATCCGAAGACGAAAAGGGCTGAGTGACAGTTTCCGGGAAAATACTGGAGAAGAGAAAACGAGAGAGAGAGAGAGAGAGGAGTGACGAAAAAACTGAGGCCAAGCTTGAGAAAGGGGCACAACAAGCACAGGCCTCCATCTCTCTCTCTAAACGTCGCTTTTATACACTGGAGTCAAATTGACTTTTACACCCTTTGTTTCTTCGTTCCATTAGGGTTCAACTGGCCCACATGATGACAGGATTGATTTTAATGACTTATAATTAAAAAATCTCATTAAAACTCCGACTGGACCAATTATCGGAATAAATCAAAATCATAATCCTCTAAAAATAAAACATAATATCATATATATATATATAGTAAATGATTTATATGAATATAGCTACAAAATATTGTATAGTACTAGCTTTCTATCTGATGTATTTTTGTACAATTAAAATTTTAATAGGATATATTTTTAAAAAAGTTAAAATAATATATTTACTCTTCAAACTGTAAATTTTAGTTTTTTATATAAAATTTTAATTTTGTAGAAAACCAAAATCATAAAGTTAGTTACAAAAGCATTTTCTATTAAAAATACTTGTGATTACTTATAGATGTCTAATTCAGTTGGATTACATGGATTAATCTAAATCAATCCAATTATTTTTGTATTTTTGGGTTAAAAATATTTTATGAGTTAAATGAATTATCATCTATTATACTATTTTATTCTTTATTTTTCATTATAATTAGGGATAGAGATTCAATTCAATTATTTCTATTATTAATCAAAACGAACCAAATAACTGATTGAATATTAATTCACAAAATTTGAAAATAATCTACTAGAATCGAATCGAACTAAATCAATTAAAATTTAATAACCGTTTGGTTATAAATTCTCAAAATCCGAAATAACCGAATCCGAACCAAACCAAACCAAATTAGTTCGGTTCGAATTTCGGTTTTTTATTGGTAAAAAACTATTTTTCAAAAACAATTAAGGTTTTTTGTTTAATTATTATTTGATTCAGTTCGAATTCAAATTCGGTTCGATTTGATTGGATTCGATTTGGTTTGACTCGATATGGATTCATATTCGATTCGGTTTGATTCATGTTCGATTCTAAAATTTATATATTTTTTGAGAATGGAAAACTATTTTGAAAAGATATAAAAAAAATTAGAATTTACAATGATAGGAAATGGGATCACCATATTTAATTTTACAAATTTTAATACTTTCTCATCAATTTTGTTAGAAAATGAAGTTCTATATTATATTTTTTAGCTTTAAAATATTTAAAATTTTGTTAGCAAAATGAATATTCCAATTTATTTAATTTCATTATTTTCAATTCAAATTATATATAAATATATAATCTAAGTAAAATTTTAAAAAACTAAACTAAATGAGTTAATTGAATTGATTTTATGGGTTAAACCCAATCTATTAAATTTTTTGTGTTGGGTTGATCTAATTTACCCATTAATTAGACAAATTCAATTAGGTTAAGTTTAAATCTATTGGTTAACCTAAATTTGACATCACTGTGATCACTGAGACATATCATCTATCACTGTATGTGTTACAAATGTGTATCATCCAAATAACATATGAGAGGTTATCTGGTCATCAATTTTGATATGCTACCTTTAAAAAAAAAGACAAAGAAATTGCAAAATAGAATTTAGTTGAATCCGACAAATGTCGAGTATTAAAACCCGAATATTGTTTATTGATAATATTCGGGGTCATGTTCGATTTTCGATCAGCGATTATCGTTCGGTATGCATTGCCACGCAAGATTTAGTGTTAGGGTTGAATTTCTTGAAATCAAGTTGATAAAAATATCTGTATAATCTAAGTATATATATATATATATATATATATATAATTTGTATAGATATGACTAGGTATTATGAATTATGAAAAAAAAGATATATATATATGATTGGTATAGATATGTCTACGTATTATGAATTCTGAAAGTAAAACAAAAAACATAGATTCGATTCGAGACCGAATATCCAAAATCACGAATATCTGACGTCGAGTCTATCCCCTATGTAGACTGACTCATTTTTCATGCAAAAAAGTAGCATTTCCAATCTTCCTACGCCTCCGAAAAGTATGAACACGAGAAACCTTACTTCACAAACATATGAAAAAGCTAACCATTTCACGGAGCAAAACGTTGCTTCCTTTTCCCGGAATCATCATCACGAAGTTCAATCAGGTTTCTAAGCTTATGATTCCGCTCTCTAATCATCACACTCTTTGCTTCGATGAAGATAATACCCAAGATCAAATTGTAATCGATACATCAACATCATCGTCGGCAAAGTAAAGAAGATTTTTAAAAATGCAGGATAAAAATCGATTCTCCTCGTCGTTTAAGCAGAATCAAACGGAGTAACAAGGAAGGAAAATCGAGAGATAGTGCTTGGTAAAATTTCCTTCTTACTTCTTCATTTACAACCTCAATGGTGTTTATATACATTTGATGAAAGAATAAAAATGATTACAACGCAACAAACCTATTATTAGAGCTGCATATCACATAGTACCTATCGAACATGTATGGAAAAAAGGTTGTCTGCCAAACAATCTCTCTTGCTCATGTACATGTGGCAGTAACCTGTAGGTAAAAAGGTAAAAAGAATAACAGTTTTCTTGATACTCCCCCTCAAGATGGGGAGTATAAATGATGTATCCCCATCTTGGAGAGAAGATACCGTAATCTGTCAGTTGCTAGAGGCTTGGTAAGCAAGTCTGCCACTTGTTCTGAACCAGAGATATGTAATGGTTTGAGAAAACCATTCTTGATCTGCTCTCGCACATAATGGCAGTCTAATTCAATGTGCTTGGTGCGCTCATGATAAACTGGGTTGTGAGCAATGTGAATAGCAGATTTGCTATCACAAAATAAAGTGACTGGTTTCGGAAATGAAAACTTCAAATCAGAGAGTAAAGAGCTCAGCCATACCAACTCGCAGCAGGTCTGCGCCATAGAACGGTACTCAGCCTCAGCCGAGCTACGAGATATTGTGGTATGCTTCTTAACCCGCCAAGAGATTAAGGAAGTACCGAGAAAGATGCAGTAAGCTGTAACAGAACATCGAGAATCTGGACAACTTGCTCAGTCTGCATCACAGAAACCACTAAGTGAGGTAGGAGATGCAGAAGAGTAGAGGAGACCTTGAGCAGGATCAGATTTCAAGTAGCGGAGAACTCGCATTGCAACTTGAAGATAAGCATTTGTGGCTGAGACATGTATTGTCTTAACTTGTTGACTGAAAAACTAATATCTGGTCGGGTAATGGACAAATAAATTAGTCTTCCAATGAGCTTGCGATAGACAGAAGCATCAGGAAGTGGGTCACCAGAATCTTGACCGAGCTTCAAATTTAACTCCATTGGAGAACCAACAGACTTGCATCCTAGCATTCCATAATCATCAAGCAGCTCTAAAGTATACTTCCTTTGGCAGAGATAAATACCCTGTTTAGATCTAGCCACTTCAAGACCCAAAAAATATTTGAGATCTGCCATATCTTTAATCTGAAATGTTGAACTCAGAACTACCTTAAGCTCAGTGACAAGGGACATATCATTGCCAACAACCAAGATATCATCAACATAAATTAATGCAGCCACAAAATGCGAACCAACCTTCTTCATAAATAAGGAATTATCAGCGGCAGATTGATGAAAACTGAAAGAATTTAAGAGAGAGGTATTGATATGAGCAATCGCATATGGAGTTTGTGTTAGAACAGAGGAGAATCAAGAGTATATTGCAGAAGATTTCATTATTGTCTTATTCTGAAAAGATGACGTACAACATGTTTATAAAGACATGTTCATGAGACAACCAAGAGAAAACAAAATGGAAAGTGTATCTCAGCATATGGAAAATGTATAATCGAATGGCATATGCTGAGATGTTGTTTCCTATATGTTCTCAAGTGATTGATCAATCACATAACGACATAGTCAGCCCAACATCTCTCCATGGGCTGAACCATTCATCATCAGGCCCATAGTCCAGCCTTTGATCGTCGATGACATGTTGGGCCTGTTCTTCACGCTGGTGAGTGTCTTGAGTTCGTGTCCGAGCTTGGTCATGTCGGGAGTGATCATTCGGTTCAATAAAAACCAGCAGCAAGTACCTGACATAATTTTTGATTCCATTGGCGAGAGGTCTGCTTTAACCCATACAGTGACGTGTTGAGTTTACAGATCAATCCAGAAGAAGAAGACTCTCCTTTTAGCTGAGCATAACCTGGTGGCAGATCGATAAATATTTTCTCATCCAGATCACCATTAAGGAAGGCATTAGAGACATCAAGTTGATGTAAAATCCAGTTTTGAGAGGCAGCAAGAGCTAAAAGAACTCTGGCAGTAGTCATTTTAGCTACAGGGATAAATGTCTCAAGGTAATCTATGCCTTCTTGTTGGGTATATCCCTTAGCAACTAATCGAGCTTTATGCTTATCGATGGAACCATCAGCATTAAATTTAGTCTGATATACCCACTTACAGCCAATAGTGCGTTTTCCAGAAGGTAGAGGGCAAACAGACCAGGTCTTGGTGTGAATCAGTGCCTCAAGTTCAAGCTCCATGGCCTTTCTCCAGGGTTCAGATTGTACTGCTTGAGAAAAGGTTTTTGGTTATTGGGTGGTGGTGATATTAAGAATGAAATTTTTGTAAGAGAGTTCAAGTCTGTCATATGTTAGGAATGCAGAAAGAGGATAAGGTGTAGTGTGTTTGTAGGTAGGGAGGGGTGAAGATAGGTTAGAAAGAAGAAAGCAGTGATAGTCTTGTAGATAAGCAGGTCGAGAAGTTAAACGTTGATGCCTAGATTTATGCTGTGAAGAATCATGTTGTTCCGAGATCTCAAGGGAAGGAGAAGAAGAGAATGTGAGGGGGGCGGAAGAAGAAGATGAAGAAGATGAAATCAGAAGGTAAAAAAGATAGAGAATTAGAAGCAGAAGAAGGATTTGGTAAGGGATCATCATATAAGAAATATGGTGATGGTGGAGAAATGAGGGAATTAGCAGAAGGAGTTGATGACGAAGTGTGATAAAAAGGAAATGTAGTTTCATGAAATATGACATTG